CGTGCCTCTCCTCTGCACAAAAGCATGAACGTGACCCATGGTAAAAAGTGTTTTGGGTTCCTGGAACTTTGTTGATTAATACACACAGCAGGCAGCCAGTGAGCCTGTAATCTTTCTCTACCTGTGTGGCTTCATAAAACTTAACTGCTTCATGGAAACCACAGGAGAGAGCCCTGAAGTAGATTTCACAGGATGAGAGTTAGCCCCAGCCTCTCTGAGCAAATCCCTGGTGTCCCCCAGCTTCCTTATCCGCCAGCTGAGGGCAACAGGGCAGCTGCCTGCCTCCTACAGATACAGGGAAAGGCAGATGAAGGCATGGATGTCAAGGCCACTGAAAAGTGAAAGTCAGTTGAATGTATAAAACAACATTATTGAGTGTTGTTTTATCCACCAGATGTTTCCATCCATTGTTCTAAGACATCAAAAGGAGAAGTGTCACAAGAAGAAATGGGTCCCTTCAGAGAGACTCCCGAGAAGGGTTTAAGTGGGCGTGTTAGTTAGTCAAGGTAACATGAACAATTATAAAATGGGCTCAGCATGCTAGAAATCTTTGATTCCCAGGAAGTCCACATGATATTCCTGATTGGCAGGTGGCTTTTCTCCACGATCCCAGACTCCCTCCATCTTGTGGCTCTGCCTTCCATAGAGCCTTGGACTCCTGCTTTGGATGCTTTTGCTCTTGCTCTGGCTGACAGTGAGGGCTGTGCATGAGGCAGCCTTGAATGTGGTGTCTGTAGCGGCCAGAATCTGCCCACATTCTACTGACCAGAGCTTGGACACATAGTTACCCCAAACTGCAAGAAGGTTGGAAACACAGCCTGGCTGTACCCCCAGGAAGAGAGGAAAATGTGAATATTTGTGAGTGCAGCAGGTCTCTGCCTCCCCTGGAAATACATGCATTCATTCCTCTAGAGTCACAGAACCATCTAGTGTTGGAACTAGGAAAGCCCCAGATATTGATAAGGCACTGTAGTGAGTTGATGTACATCCAAGAACTCGAAGGATGTACACCTGGAGGAAATATCTCAGCTCCTCCTTTACTCATCAAATGACCTTGAACAAGTGGTTAAAGCTTTCAGGTAATGAATGCCTTCATGTTTAAGACAGGATGACAGTGATCCCTAATGCATAGAGTCTGTGTGAGCATTACAAGAGACTGGACCTGCAAAGTGAGTACACAACCTTTGAGAGTTATTTCATGAAGCCCAAGCTCCTTGTCTGCTTAGGGAGTGGAGAAAATGACTTGCTCAAGGTCACATAGCAAATGAGTGTCAGAGGGGGGAATCTGTCTTGGTTTCCAGTTATCCCCATAATCTCTCTCTCTCTGGTTTTTCCTGGCTTCAAATAGAAGTCCTTTTGGCCAGACCCCAGGGACACACTTCCAACCCCTCGGAATCCGTATCCCTGAGCTCTGGCATCTCAGAGGTCAATCTAGGCCACTGTCCTTAAGCATAGGAAGGAATAAATGCAAACTGCTTAAAGGGCATTTTCCCTGGAGCCCAAATCTCCCTTGAGCCCAAATCTCCCTTTTTCTCAGCTGGCTGCCCAAAGAAGCAATTTAGCAAATGCATTTTATCTCAGGAGGATCTGTCTTTTGTTTCTGTGACTGGCTTGTCAGGAGCCCCGGCCTCCCCCTCCGCCAGCCCGAGTGTGGAGTGTGGAGTGCAGAAGCATTCAGGTCCTGCTAATGAAAGCCCTCCCTCCAGCTCAGCATCTCCCTGGAGAAATTACTGGTACCCTGGGTGAAAAGGAGGCAGTTTTTAAGCTGCTCGGTCTTCTCCTTGTATGACATCAGCCATGCAGTCAGCAATAAGCAATCCTAGATTAGAATTTGAAAAGGTACATAATGTAATCATGATAACACTGCTTAGGTTTGTGTAGCAGCACTCTACAGTTTGCAAGGCACTTTTACATGCATTTGCTCATTTGAGAAAATTACAGGGAGTTAGTTAAATACGGAAAAGTAGAAAGAAGCCAATAAAATTCATCTGCGAATCCACCAATCAGAGGAAGGCCTTGTCGACATTGTAATGGGCTCCCTTTGGTCTGTTTTCTGTGTGGGTTTTTGTTGTTTGTCTTTTCGCTGTATTGGGAACATCCCGCATGTGCATTTTTATGGCCTGCTTTGTTCACCGAGAGTTGTGTCTTCCACCAGCTCATTTGGTCCTTCTATCCATCCCCCAAAGAGGAGTAATTGTGTTGTGAAAAGGTCCCTAATTTGGGAAGACTGGGTTCTCCATCCAGGCCTTCTCTCTAGCTGTGTAACTGGCAGGTTACTGAAACCTTCTGAGCCTCACTTTCCTCCGTGGTAAAACAGAGATGTGTGCTGAAGGAGTCAACTAATAAAGCAATGCACCTGAAGAACATTTGATCCTGCATCTGGCACATAGTAGGTGCTTAGTCCATATTAGCTAAGCAGAGCTGCAATATACCATGTTGATAAGAAGTGCATTAAAGCTTAAGGAAGGCATCTGGTGGGTGCAGAGTCCCATCGAGTCGGACACTGTGGGTCTGACTTCACACCTGCTGTGCTGCCCACAATGCCCAGTGTAGTTGGTGAACAGCAGTATCCCTTGGGCCCTACCCCTTAAGCATGGGAATGGCCACAGGTGACCTTGGGATGTAGATGCCACCAAACCACATTCTTGGTACCGTGAAGTTCATAGATGGGGGCTACTCAGCCCCTAGCATTGTTGATAGACCCGCACCCCAGGACAGCCTATACCTGAGGCTCCAGGAGCACTCTCATTGGTCACTGTTTCTTTTCTTAGCATGTGGTGGTTATGACTGTCCGGTGCAGGCTCGTTGAGCACACGTGATGGTCTAGATGGCCCAGGTTCGGGGGACTCAGAGATGAGTGGGACACAGCCCTGCCTTTAGGAGTCCACTGTATGGGTGCTTAGCAGAAATCGGCTCTTGGAGCCCTATACCTTGGAATGTCGTTTCCCCCAACTCAGGGTGTGTACCTGTGAGGGGAAGAGAAGCCCCCCCCCCCACACACACACACACATACCTTGTGTCTTGGTCACTGGTTTTCTTTCTCATGTGATGATCTTTTTTGAATCTTCATCAAGAACATTGTCAGCAAGGACCTGGGTTTAACCCTGCAGGTCAGAACGGGTCACTCAGCTCACAGGATCTTAGCTGGAAGGGGAAATCCAGTGCCCTGGTCTCGCACTGTTGGGAGAGCGACAATATTCAAATAGGCAAGGACATCGAATCAAAGATGAAGAGCTAAAGAGTATCCCTGATTATGTCCTTTTAATAGTTAAGAGTTTTAAATAGCTGAGAATGCCTATGTCACTGGGTCTCAGTGATCCCCACGCATCACTTGAGAATAGATGGGCGCCTTTGAGTTGGACATGGCCGTCTGGAGGATGCTGTAAGCACTTAGTGGGCTGGGACTCGGGAGGCTACCCGCCTCTGATACGTGGGACAGGCTCCAATAGTGAAAGCAGCTCTATTCACAAAATGCCAGTGACCCCCCTGTCCGTTGTCCATTGCCGCAAACCTCGGTGGCGCATGAGAAGTGTTTCCTGAGGCAGCTCTGCTGGTCCTGGCTGGGCTCACTCCCTTGTCGGGGTGTCGCTCACCCTCTGGTTGCCCCGGTGCCTCCTCCAGGCAGTGGTGGAGGTGGCAGTGGTAGAGTTGGCACTGGCACACCCCCTTGAGGCCCCACCTCAGGCCTGGGGCAACACCGCTTCCCTACCTTTAGATGTGACTGCCACAGCAAGTCACAAGTCCCGCCCAGATTCAGCCGTTGGGGAGAAGGCTCTGCCTTTCGGTAAGGGACACTGGGAGTCGCGTGAGAAGGGGCCGCATGGGGAGGGGGAGAACTGGGGCAGGAGTGGAATCGTCTCACAGCTTCCCTCTTGAGAAATGGTGCCAGAGCTTCATCTATCAAGGCAACGGTCTCAACGGACACAGGTTTTACAGGAGCAAGTTAATATGTTTTCTTACTGGTTACTACACCATTGGTTTGGAGACCTTATGTATATACACATATAAAATCTCTGTTACTTTCAGCCAGGCTAGTAACTCTAGCCAGGTAAATTTTAATCTATTCAACTACACGTCCTTGTGTGACCGACAAGGCTAATGCAACAGAAATAACGTTGGAACCAGCTGTGTGGCTTTCGGCAAAATTACTATTTTTTAAAAATCGATCTTGAAGTACAATTTGCATGTGATACATGTGAGCATTCTAAGTGCACAGGGCGTCGAATCCTCACAAACCCGCCACACCTGCGTGATCGTGACCCAGAACGTTTCCGTCGCCGCCTCTTCCCAGTCCGTTCACTCCGCCCACACACGTCCAAGGACCTAATTCCTGTCACCGTGAGCGTTCCTTCACTTTCCCATGGCGACTCTTCACCTGCACAGCAGGCACACGACACCTGCCTGGTAGGGGTAGTGTGGGGTTTGCGGGCACCTGGGCCAGCAGGTGCGGGCCTGGTGCACCTGCATCTGCGCTGCCTGAGGCCGAGTCCCTCGCTCCTGCTCGCAGGGGCGCTGGCTCGTCACTAGTCGGGCAGGAAGGCGCGGAGTGGAGCCGGACGAAGAACTTGTACACGCAGATTCATGAACTAAGGCTTTCAAAGAGCCAGGAAGGAGAGACGGAAAAGCCGAGACTGGGCTCTGCTCCGTTCAGGTTCATTACTCTTTTCTGACAGTTGTGCCCCTATTACTTGGGAATGTTGTGCCAGGTCATCAAGGAAAGGTGGATTGTTTATAGGGCGTTCGCGGCTGGCTGTCCACTTATTTGTCCCTGATCTCCACCATCACCCCGAGCTCAGAGCAGTCTCGCTTCTCAGAGGGCGAGCTGCCCTTCATGGACTCCTTTTTGAAATTAGAGTAAATTGCAGAAGGAAATGAAACCAGCGATCTTGTCCTTCTGTGTTAGACCGTCAACAATGTCCAGTGGTGACAGCCTCAGGGCAGGGCCGTGCCCAGGGCCCCGGGGCTTTCCTTCTTCCTCAGCCGCCTCTCCCACCTTTCAGCTCCAGAAGCAGCTGTCGGAGCTGGACGAAGATGACCTGTGCTACGAGTTCCGGCGAGAGCGCTTCACCGTCCACCGGACCCACCTGTACTTCTTGCACTACGAGTACCAGCCCGCTTCCGACGACACGGACGTCACCCTGGTGGCTCAGCTCTCCATGGACAGGTAGGGCAGACGGGCCCCCCCTCCGTCATAGGGAGAAGGGAGGGGTGGCCTGGGGGGCTGAGAATACTGGAGCCTGGTCTGGCAGGCCTTGTGTCTCCCCCCTTCTCTGCACTGAAAACCCAGGGCTCTTGTCTTTCAGAGATGGGGGTGGTTTGAGGACAGAGGGAAGCATCGATTCTAAGAAATGGAGCTCTACTTAAATTGCCTCTAGGAAAAGGGGGTGCGCTGCAAGGAAAGGTGGACTGGAACCACAGTTGCCCCGGGAAGGCAGTTGCTGTTTGTCTCCTGCGTCTCGATGCACAGAGATCCCCTGAGCCTGCATCAGGCAGGACTGACGTGGCTCTTGCGTGGCTCACAGTCTAATGCCCTGGTTCTCAGCCTTGGCTGGGGACAGGCCCAATCACCTGGGAAGCTTTTAAAACAAATTCCCCCCCCTCCTGCACATCCAATTATGATGCAGCAGGCAGGCTGGTGCCTGTCGGATTGATTTTTAATTTAAGAAACATTTCGGTGTGTGTTGGGAAACCTTGAGTCAGAAGGAGGCCCTGTGTGAATGCCACAGCGAACCGGGGGAGGTGGCATGAGGGCTCTGGAGCCAGGCTCCCTCTAGGTTCCCTTCAGAAAGAGTGAGCGTCATCGTGGCTGTGGCACCAACAGGTCTGCTCCTCTCCCAGCCGCTCCAGGACTTCTCGCCCATCCTGGCAGCCAACGGGACTGCTTGAGGACAGAGGGATCCCATCCTGATTGGGAGGGATCCTGATCGCAGCATCCTTGCCACCTGGCCAGGAGACACCTTCTCTTTCCTGTTCCTTCGGCAACATTGGTGAAGTAGTAACTACAGTCCCAGGGGATTCTGGGGCTGACAGGTCTTCTGATTTTGGCCAGAAGAGGAGAGAGAACATTGGCTGAGCTAACAGGTCCCATCTTTTAGAGCCATGCTGCTCCGAGGGGCCCTCACAGCATCACTCCGGAGCTTGTTAGAAATACAGCTTCTTGGGCCCCGCACCCCACCTATCAAAGTGAAATCTCTAGGGCGGGGCCCAGGAATGTGTTGTAAGAAGCCTCCCGGGGGATCCTAAACACCTTAAGCATGAAAAGCACCAGTCTAGAGAGTAAAAGCTAATTCTTCGTGTAGCAGCCAGAGGGATCATTTAAAACTACATACCAGGTGACGTCGTTGAAACTCTGATGATGTCTCATTGCTTTTAGAATAATCCAGCTGCCCGCCCTGCCTTCAGGACCCGTGTCCCCTGACACCTGCCCACTCCCAGCATCCCCGCCGGCCTGCCCCCCTCTCCCCTGTTCCATCCCCACTGGTCCTACTGCTTCTTGCTTGAACTTGCTAAACTCGATTTCATCCCAAAGGCTGTTCCCCCTTCTTGGAGAACATTTCACCCAGACTTTCTCAGGCCTGGTCCCTCTCACCATCAAGGCCTCTGCGGCAGGCCCTCCCTGGCGAGCCCTCAGGGCCACTCTGTCCTATTTCCTGTTCTTTTTCCTCTCCAGCCCTTAGTTCCCCTGAATTTATCCTGCATTGCTGGTTGTCTTCTGCCCTCACTAGAAGGAAGCTCTGGAAGCACAGGAACCTCGTGCCCCTTGCTCGTCCCGGGGCCCAGCACAACACCTGCACGTTGTAGATATTCTGTAAACATTGGTTGGGTGAATGCGTGTTGGAAAGCCAGGGGGGGACCTAAGGAGGAGCCACCGCTGCCCTGTACCGAGTTCCTGCTGTACGCCTTTAGCTTTGTGCCACACGCTCTGTAGTAGGTCAAGTGGGCTTGTTCACGTGGTGGAGCCACAGGTCCCAAGGGCGGCGAGGGGAAGCCCCAGCAGACAAGCACTTTCTGACTCCCCCGCTGTGTCCTGTTTGCTAATGTTTCATGGACCAAAGCAAGTCACAGGCCAGCCCAGTCAGCGTGGGCGGATATTACCAAGGGTGCGATAGAGGGAGAGGAATGATCTGGAGCCATTCTGCAATCCGCAAAGGTATTATTATTCCCCGTATGCACGTGTGGAAATGGGAGCTCAGAGAACCGTCATCCCTTGCTCAGGGCGACTGGCATGGCGTGGAGTCCAAGCCCAGAGCCCAGAGCTGCACCTCCGCCCCCGGGCAGCCCGCTTGACTCCCGGGGACCTGATTGGAACCAGCCGCCTTGTATGGAGTGGGTTTCCCGTTCCAGCAGAGGCTGAGCGACACCTGCCTGGACCGCTTAGGCCGACTGACGATCTAGGATCCCTTCCAACCCTAGTCTTTTAGGTTTCTTATTTGGCCATCTCTCTGCTAGGTCCCTGAGCCCTACACAGACTGTGGGAGGCTGCCTGTCTCAGGGCACCCCTGGGGAACCCCCCGCCTGTTTCTAGATCTGCCGGGCATGTCTCTGGCCAACCCTGAGCCTTTGTCCCCCTCACCCCAGCATGAAGCGACGGCGGGCTGTGCGGGGAAGTGGAGAAGCATACGGGACAGCCGGGACTGTGGGTCCTGGTGCTGGCTCTCCGCTCACTCATCCTGCTCCTTGGCAACCACGCCCCTCTCCGAGGCTGAGCTCCTTCATCATAAAAACGGTGTAATCAGACTAAAAAAAATCTCTAAGATTCCTTCCAAGCTGACAGTTCTTCAGGTTTAGAATTCATCTTGGCTTCTTTTTTTTTTTTAAGTCCTTACCCAAGGATATGTTTTTATTGGTTGGGGGGGG